TAAACTGTGTTTAAACTGTATATATATGTCGCACAAATTCAGTTCTTGTACTTCTAAATATACCTGCAGTTTTTGAAAGAGCAAACATAATTTGCTTTTGCATCGCAAGCAGAACAACTGTTGCACCAATGAACCACATTCGCAAGTTTCAGAACTACTTACTAATAAACCTCAAGACCTGAAGGAATTTCCAACAGAATTGAAAGAAGTTACAACATTGGTAAAATATTTTGACTCGAAATAAGTACAAAAATAAAGCTATTCTCTTGGAAACTGCCATAGTTTAGGTGTGAAACCTGCAAAATGCATGCTATAGTAAAGGACAATGTTTGTTTAACTCGTGCAGTAAAGTGAACTTCTGATTTTGCAATTGAGAAAGGAACCCATAAAGCATGCCTGATAATGACTTGGGTGGAAATTAGACAAATGTTAAGTTTAAAACTAAGATACTTATTAACAATGGAAATTTTTCCCTTTCAATATACACAGATTTTTTGGTTGTACATAAAATTACAAACCTTCTACCAGCTACCAAATTAAATGTAGAACATCCTAAAATACCAGAAAAGATATACTTAGGGGGCCCAGATTTTGATAAGCCAGGAAAGACTGATCTCATATTGGATGTTGAGCTCTTTCTTCGAATTAGTTGAAAGAGCAAAAGATATGATTGTTTAGTACTTTCTTTTTACAAGAATCCATTTTCGGATTTATTGTTAATGGTTTTAATGAAATTAAAATTTCAAATCAATATTGCAGGTTAATCTCTCAGTCCGAAAGCTTAGAAGCATGCGTTCATAAGTTTTGGCAAATCAAAAAAATAGCCAACGAATCTCTCCGAAGTGCAGAAGAGGAGTTTTATGAATTGCACTATCAAAAGACATACAAGAGAGACGAGAGTAGACGTTTCATAGTACAGATGCCCATTCAAGAAGAAGCACTTCATCAATTGGGTGATTCGAGAAACATAGCTAACAAAAGTCTTAATCAAACAATTAAAAGGTTAAATAAAAACCTAAATCTAAAAAAAAAACTTCATACAGATTTTATCAAGGACTAAGAAAGCTTAAGTCACAAGGAAAGGGCTGAAGAAGAAAATCCTCCACTCATCACTTTCTGTTTTTCTCACCATGAAATTTACAAACCTGAAAGTCATCTACGAAATTGCGCATTGTGGTTAACTCATCAACCCCTACAACTTCAGGCTTAAGTCTGAACGATATTTTACTATCAGAAGTTAAAGAATATATATTTTATTTAATTGCTCAGTTTCATAAACATAAAATAGCACTAGTTTCAGACATTAAACAAATGTTTAGGAAGATTTTAATTGCCTCATTGCAAAGGGATCTGCTATGTATCTCAAAGAAAGAGCACGAAGACGACCCACAGACTGAACGCTGTTACGTATGGTACTGAATGTGCTCCATTTCGAGCTATAATAACACTGAAACAGTTAGCTTTGGAATAACAGCAGAAATATCCATTAGCTTCTGAAGTGACTCTATCTGATATCTATATGGACGACACAATAACAGGAGCTTCTAATATTGAATCTGTCACTGAGTTAGAGAATCAACTGATACAGATGTTAAGAAGATGTGGAATGTCTTTACATAAATGGAATTCTAACTCCAAGACTGTATTAAATCTTTCAGTATCTAAAGAAGATTTTCACTTTGATTCCACTGAATTTATGAAAACTCTTAGCATAAGCTGGCAGCTGGAATCTGATATCTTTACTTTTAAAGTTCCTTTAAAGTTATTTTCCAAGGGAAATCATCTTTTATGAAAAGAAATGGCCTTTCAGTCATTGCCTGGTTGTACCTATTGGTTTTATCGAGCCAGTTCATTTGTAAAGCAAAAATATTCCTTCAGAAACTATGGTCTCTAAAATTGAACTGGGATGATGAATTACCTGAACCACTGGCCAGTGAATGGAATTGTTTTGTTTCAGAGTTTAACGACTTAAAAAACCTTAACATTGAAAGATATGCTTTGTATTCTACAACTGATAAAAAAGATTCATAGATTTCACTGATGCTTCAACACCTACATATGAAGTGGTAGTTTACCTAAAAAACAATCAAGCTAGCTCTTCTTTACTGGCAAGTTACTGGAAAGCAAATCTCGAGTAGCCCCTCTAAGGTCTCTATCATTGCCATGTTTCGAGATTTCAGCTTCTACTACTTGCTAAGCTTGTTAAAGTGTTCTGGCTTCTTTAAATTTAGACATTAAAAAGGTAACATTATTTTCGAATTCGTCTATAACGTGGATAAACCCTTTGCCACATCAACTCAAAACCTTTGCTGAAAATCATGTTGAGAAAATTCAGGCATTATCAGAGAACTTTGAGTGGATACGCATTCATTCTGAGAAAAATCCTGCTGATTCGGTTTATCCTGGAGTTGAGTCTATAGAATGTTTATCTCTGAAACTATGGTTCATTGGATCTGCTAATCTTGACATCAGTACTATAGAAAAGACTAATTTAGATGATAAAGACTATGAACTTTATGAATGTGAACTGAAAAGATCTTCGGAAATTTCTGTTTGTATCACGTCTAGTGCTGATTTCATTAAGCCTTTTCTTTTAGTTTTGTTAAACTAATTATTTATAGGTTTATTTCCAGTTGCCAACAAGGTAAGAGGTTATCAGATCCTATTATTAGACGTGAATTTATGTATGCCAACCTATCCATTGTAAAGCTAGTACAGGGACTAGTATTCAAAAGAGAAATTCAAGCCTTTAGATGTGGTAAAAATCTAAAGGATATTCACTTAAGTAATTTAAATCCTTTCCTTGACGAAAATGGAACACTTAGGGTGTGTATATATGTGGAAATTTAAGCATTTTGTTTTATTTTTTGTGATAATAATAAATTTTATTCACTTTTAATCGGACTTTTGCATTCAATTTATTATGAACCCATACGCACGCAACAATATACAGTAAAAAGTCTTTAATCCAGACGTCCATAATCCGGAATGATCTATGATCCGGACCTCAAAGCTACAAACTTTCTGCGCACATAATATCTTTACGCATGCGCATATGCGTCTACACATGCGCATAATACGTTTACCCATGTGCGTTTAACGTATTAATGGACGCGTTTAATGGACGTCCATAATTCAGAATGATCTATAATCCGGACCTCAAAGCTACGAACTTTCTGCGCATATACGTTTACGCATACGCACAATACCATTACGCATGCGCATATGCATTTATGCATGCGCATTTAATGTATAATGGATGGTATGAGCTAAGCTAAAATTATCTAATTATCTATTTCAGTTAATGTTGCAGATTGCATTGTTCCTTAATCTTCTAATTGGATCCGGCTTATTATTTTTTGCAAACTGTTAGAGCAATTTTATGAAGGTAAGCTTGAACTTTCAATTATGTCAAAAAGAATTTCCAATTCTGGAGCTACCAAAGGATCTACAAAGCAAAAGCATGTTTCGATGTCCATCAAACAAAAAGTGATGCTGCAAAAAATGGATAAAGGGCATATCCTTTGATTCTCTAATCATTCTGAAATATGTCTATCAATTTCACGCTGCTCTGCATGGGGGGGGGGGACGATGCGGCGCACAATTAACTGGAAGTTGACCTGTCAGCACTATCCTTATCTTCAGGGCAGATGTTTTTATTTTATTCAGCTTATAATTTCTTACTAAATGTAGTATTTCATCTCGATGTACTCCGTCTTTGATATGATTTAAATCAAATTCCTCCTCATTATAAATATCACGAATACACATCAAATAGTTTTCTGGTTGCAATTTTCTAATTTCGACTATGCGTAATGTATGCTTTACGCATGCGCGCGTTGAAAGAAATGTTTAATAAAGTAAACAATAAATATTAAGCCTTTTTTTTGTAACTTTTGATACCCTTTATGTCATAATTGCTCTTTTTTTCATAAATTACGGTTTTATATTTTTAATTTTATAATTTCTGCATGCCATCTTACCAGATTTAAACTGATGATCTATAATCCGGGAAAACCGATAATCCGGAATCGCCGAAGTCCCGAAGAGTCCGGATTAAAGACTTTTGACTGTATATATAAAATAAAACCTAGTGCTATTCAATTGATTAATACAAACATAAATTACAAACTTTTATTTAAAATCTTCATAAAACACGTTCAAAACAAACTTAACACATGAATTAATTGTAATATATTTTCTAAAACGTTTATAATCAATATTAAAACATTTACAATTAATATTAATACTATTAATTTGTCATTTTATTTGTTTTTGCAAAAAGTAAAGTTTAAGATTTTAACAGCCACAAAACACTTTATTTAAATTTGCACAGTAGTATATGTGATTTCTTTTCTTCTTTTAATCATTTGGTCTTGTATATAAATTGCATTTTATGTTAATTTAGGTGTATTTTAATTACTTAAAGAGTTAAACTCTGATGGCATTCTATAGCAATTGTAAATAATGTCAAAAAAGATGTAAGCAAACATTAGAAATCCACCAATCTGATTCGCGTTTGTGACATTGCTCGCAGTGGCTTATGGGTTAAGGGATGGAAGACCATGTGCATCTGAACAGGTTCTGAAAGCAAAACAGCTTCAAGCTTCATATCCCTGTTTCTTCCTAATACAAACGGTGGCTGGGCGAAACAGCGTTGCATGTGAACGGGTCTTAGGTGAACTTTCTGCCCCTTTGGCAAATAAATGACTTTCATATGATCCTCACACATGCAGTTCTGTAATTAATACCTCTCCTAAATGACTAAATGTTTTAGCCAGAATGCCGATCAAGCATCCATTACTGATGGTTGAACTATTTCCTCATATTAAACTGAGGATATTTTCTAATTTCCAGAGTAAGTTCTATGAAGCATTTTTTACAAATTTTCAAAACTTTTCATACACATGTAATTTAATTATTGTTTAATTTCATGGTTCATAGTTTGATTTTATGATAATTTTAAACTAAAAAGAGGGGAAAAAATACAAAAAACTTACTCTATTATCATATTCCTTAACATCCAAAATTATCTTCAGATTTAATTTTAGACACTCTTCAATACCTTCCTCTAAAGTGCATATTTTCTCCCCTTGAAAACGATCACTAAATAAAAGAGGAAGTCAATTATGATAACAATAAAAAATGCCTTTGGCAATAAAGTAAATAAAAATGTGTAAGTAGCTTCAAAAGTTTTCAGCCTGACATACAGGCTCTGAAGTAATGGGACTGGCCTTTTAGTTCCCTCTAAATGCAGTGAGAATATAGTGACAAAGAGCAGCAATAAGAAGAAAATCCATGCACTGAAAAACACTCTCTTCCCTAAGAATCGAATGAGTCAATATGGTGAAAGCCAATGGGTAATACATCAAAGGAGACAAACAACAGATTTGCCATAAATTGTAAATAAATAAGCTTTTTTTTTTTTGAGCCAGACTCATTACTTTATAGGCAGATCACATATTTCTAAAAGAAATAGAAGAAAATTTTAACAGTTTATTTTGTAATACATCTTTGCACTTTTCACATCTCTTAATGATCAACTCTATATACCCGAAAACGTAATGGCTGCTTGTCCTCCAAATGTTCTATAACTGCTCTTTTTCAAGCCATTATCATTATTAAATCTCTTTCCACAAATCTCAGATGTTAGTTTTGAGAACAAATGATAATCACTTGAAGATAAACCTGAGCTGTAAGGAGAAAGGTTAAGCTCCTTAATCCTGCACTGCTATATTTAAATTGCTAAAAGCAGTCAGTATTCTACAGTGGTCTATCTTCATGAGAATCACCATCTACAAATTTTCAGCATATGCAAAATTGTGTTACCTATTCTTTTACTGTAGAATAAGATAGAGATGAGTTAACATACACATGATCCAAACACTGGTTTATTATTTTGAGATTAAAACCTTTAGTCAAAAATTTAATTGCAGACTGATATTCAGTTTAAAAAGCATTTCAGAACAAATCAGCTCATCACATCATTCAGTAAAGAATCCTTGCCTGCATGAATGAATAGAAATGAAGATTTCTCTAACAAATTATTACTATGCAACTTCTTATATGCAAGGCCAAAAACTCTTGTATCTACTTATAATTTCATTTTTAAATAACAATAAATAGAATTTAAAAAAATGCTTTAAGAAGTTTCAGACAATTTATGCAAATTTAGATTGTTAGTTTTGTGGAGAAAAATTACATACAATATATATATTATTATTGACAGTGTTTGGTGTAATAGCAATTTCAATAAAAATGCTTCAGTAGTTACTAGCATGCAATCATTCCAATTTTATGTTAACAAGTAAGCATTCAAATAGCATCATATTCCATCAGTAACACTTTTTTTTAAGTAGGTTTCTAAGAAATAAAAAATAAGCAATGCATATATTGATTTACGTATCCTCACAACAGACAACTTACTAAGTCATATCTATAATAATGGGAAATTTACCTCGTACTTTCTCTGAATGTGAGTATGAAATGTACCCACCTGAAGGTAAATCATCAAACAAATTTTGTTCATCATGATATAGTGACAACTCTAACATGATAAAATGTCTATGGAATCATCTTAGACAAATAATTATGTGGAATTTGAAAAGAACAACACTTGCAATGCTGCCCAGTTACCTTGCTGAACAGACGTGGTAATCTCAACAATAAGGACAAATATCTGACCATGTTCAGAGATAGAGAGACAAAATTGTGTGAAAGAAAAATAGCTATGGCTATCAATATTGTTTTATATCTAATTGTGCAGTCAAACACTGCTAAATCTGGCTTATAAAGGAAATTCCAGATATAAAAATGAATATTCTGGTCTCATCTTGTGTCTTATAAATTTAATGTTATTTTATACCAGTGATTCTCAACCTTTTTTATTTTTCCTTTTAATAACTTAAAATTTGGAGGTACTCTAATAATAAGATAAATTTAAAAGATTACTATTATTATCCCGAATTGAAAGGTGTGAATATTCACAAGTAAAAAAATTATGGAAAACGTTAAATAAAAGAAGATAAGTTTCTAATTTGGGAAAATATTGTCATGTATCTGGCAGCGGTGAGCCAATCAGCTGCCTGGCAGAGCCCAGCAAGTGAGAGAGACGACAGTTGCATGTTAGCCTCAGAGGAGGCAGGTGGTAGGATTAATTATGTTGTAGGAGCGAGGTAGTGCTCCGAGTTTGCCATTATTCTTTAAATGTTAATTTTTTTTACCATTATTCTTTGAAAGTTAATTTTTAATAAATGTTGGTGTCGTTTTCCTTATGGTGCCTTATTAATCCGTAAGGTCATTACAGCACGCTCTCTCTTTCGAGAACCAGAGCTAACGAAGCCGACTGGATTTTGGAGAAAAGGTGAGAAATTTTTGTTGTAACTTTAAGGAAAATTTCTTCTAAATATGTTTAAAGGAGTAGTTAAAAGTGATTTGATTTCGGTGTTGAAGGAACTAGGTGAAGAAGCCGATTCTAGTTTAAAAGTTGTAGAATTAAAAGATAAGCTTTTAAGTTCTAAAGAATATTTGAAAGATAAAGATTTTGTTATTGAATTTCTTAATACTACGGTTGAAGAAAGGAAAAAGTCAGAAGAAATTGTGAAATTGCGTTTAATGCAAATCGAAAGTAGCAACGAATCTAGTAATAACGTAGAAAATACACTTTCATTAGATAAGCTTTTGAAAGCTGTACAGGCATTATCGATTTCTGTACCTAAAAAGGGTGAAGCATGGAACTTATTTTTTGATTCCATAGAAAGGGCTTTTAAGCATAAGAACGTACCAAATGAGTTTAAGTCTGAAATTTTACTTAAACTGATAGGTGATAAATCTTCTAATATTCTAGTATATATTAAAGATGATGATTTGAAAGATTATGAAAAAATTAAATCTTTAATTCTTAAGGAATATGAACCATCGCCAATTATATGTTTAGAAAATTTTCGCCAAGCTCAAAGGTTGACGGGGGAAACTCATTTGCAGTTCGCCTCTCGTTTAAGATCATGTTGGATCCATTATTGTAAAAGTAGAAACGTCAATGATTTTGAGTCTTTAATTAACTTAATAATTTCTGACAAACTTTTTCAAACATTGGATAGTGATTTAGCGTGCCATGTTGCAGTTCGACAAGGTGAAAGTTGGCTACGTCCAGAAGAACTAGCGAAGGAATGCGACACTTATTTCATCGCAAAAGGTAAATCTTTTGATGACATAAGAGGTGAAAAACGCGCTAATTTTCGTGATTCATACAACAAAAACTCTAAATATATTCCACCAGCGCTAAGAAAAGATTTAGTGGTAAATGAACAGAAACATTCGTTTAAACCGCGAGAATGTTATGTGTGTAGTAGCAGTTTACATTTGGCTAAGGATTGCCCGAACAGGCGAAATAAATTTGAGAGGTCCAATAAACAGAACGATAATTTCCCGGTCAAACCGAAAGTTAACACTTCAAGTAAACCGAAGGACAATGCGGTTGTTACAAATGTAAATTCTAAACATTTACAAAAACCCGAGTGTTCCGACGGAAAACTTAATTTTTATTCCTTGGAAAAGATTACTATTTACATTGCAGGGAAGCAAGTAGAAGCTATAAAAGATTCAGGTACGGAAATACCAATTTTGAACACTACATTAATTCCTGATTTAAAAATAGAAAGTAAGGGTAAAATCATTTTAAGTTCCGCATTTGGCGACGTCATAGAGGCAACGTTAGCAACTATTCCCATTTATTACAAAAAACCAAACAGTTGTCTATATTCGCGCGTAGAAGCTCTTTTCGCGTTGACAGATAAGCTAAATGTTCAATGTTTAATTACACCAGATGTATGGGATCGCATATTTGAAGACGAGAATGAATCAACAGTCTTCCCTGAAACGAAACAGGAAACTCATGAACAAAAACAACTTGAGGTTGGCGCCGTTGAACTGTCAAATGTAAATCTTTTTTATAGCTCAGTTGCGAATCAGAATGATGAAAGACTAAACAGTTATTCGGAATCGAATAAATTTAAGGTCGATCAGAGAAACTGCCAAACGTTAATAAATTCTTTTAAGGACGCAGAAGTAGGGAAGAATAATTTCTTTTTACAGGACGAATTATTATTTCATAAAGAAAAAATTTGTGGGGAAAACATACAACAGTTAGTTTTGCCCGAGAATTATCGAAATAAAGTCCTTCAATTAGCTCATGATTCCATATTCGGAAATCATTTAGGTATGAGGAAAACTAAAGAAAGAATTAAGCTTTCATTTTATTGGCCGAACATATCCAAAGATGTAGAAAATTATTGTAGAACATGCGAAAGATGTCAATTAAAAAGTCCGGAAAGACAATCGGATAAAATTCCGATTACTCCTATTGTTCGCGCGCCATATCCCTTTCATACAGTAAATATAGATATTATTGGTGAAATTTCACCTCCTTCAGGAAGGAAACATAAATATTGTTTGTGTTTGATAGATAATCATTCAAAATGGCCAGAAGTCATACCTTTAAAAAGTCTTTCTGCTAAAGCTACTTGTGAGGCTCTTTTAGATATTTTTATGAGAACCGGTATTCCAGAAATAATTTGTAGTGATCAAGGCACTAATTTTACCTCACAATTAACTCAAGAATTCGAAAAAAGGTTAGGAACTCATCCTCGTTTTTCGACACCTGGTTACCCAGCATCAAACGGCTCAGTGGAAAAATGGAATCGGGTATTTAAACAAATGTTACATCATGTAATTCGCACAGATCCTGTTAATTGGGACAAGCACATACCTTATTTACTTTTTGCGTATCGTGAAGTTCCAAATTGCACTACCGGTGTATCTCCATTTATGCTTATGTACGGTCGTGAAGCTAGAGGTCCCTTAGCTGTGTTAAAATCATCATGGTCCGGTGAAATACCATTACCTCTTAATCTGAGTAATTCAGCAGTTGATTATCTACAAGAATTAAAGATAAATTTAGAGAAAGCATCTGAGCTCGCTTCTTTATCTGCCGCGGAAAAACAAGAAGCTTATGCATATTATTTTAACCGTCGCAAAAGTTTGAAAGAATTTAAAAATGGTGATCTAGTATATTTACTTATACCAGACTCTAGCAACAAGCTATATGC